ATACGCATTCCACCACCACCTCAAATGCAATTCGATAAATTGATGGAAAACATTGAAAATTTAAATTTGGACACGGAGCTACTAGACAGGATCACGCCAAAGATTAACTGGAAGGGACAACCTCTGTCCATCTCACACTTACCGCATTACGATGCCTTGCATTCCAAGGAAGCACATGTCGCATCAACGTTGCGACTCACCCCCATACAATACCTGACGTCCAAAAACACACTTGTCTCATCAGCTCGGAGGTATATTCAGAAATCGCTGCCGTTTCGAAAGAGTGATGCGCAGAAATTGCTCCGAATTGATGTGAACAAAGCCAGTAAACTCTGGGAATTTTTTATGCAAGTTAAATGGATCTAAGTAAAAAATAAGCATGAGAATAATTACTTTTATTACGTAGAAAAATTCTAAGATCAATCATCTTCACTTCAAAGGAATTGTGTGATGACTTGTAAATAATCATGCTCAATTAGAACTTTCTTTTTTGAAAAAAAAAAAATAATCATTCATTTTCTTCTGAATTACATTTTATAATCTGTTTGCATTTGTAAATTTTTCAATGCTAAAGAAAAAAAATATATGTATCCGAGATTGGAGGGTCGAGGGTAGAGGCGATTCCTCCCAAGACCAGTTGACGGAATTCCAAGATTGATGATCTCTTTGAAAAAAGTGGGTTTCCAGTCTATGATGCGTTTTGTTGTTTTGCCTATTGTCAAGGCATTTTGGATAAATAAGGGTAACAAGTGATTTTCCATAAAGTCAATTTGACACGTTCGAAGTTCGAGTTTCAAATGGTATCATCAACTGCTGTGCTTGTCTCGTCGACAATTCATGGTTCTCTTAAACTTTGCTTCCATCGTTATCCTCTTTACCTGACCCTAAAACGTCATCTCAACCAAACGACGAATGTTCCGTCTGTGTAACGCATAACGAGGATCATTGAGCGTATGAAGGCGGGAAACGTCGGATTGCACGATCATTGGTTGGAAGGGAGGTCGCATTGTGATGAGCTCTCCCGGTGACATGTGCGAGAAGAATTGTTGGCAGTAACGAATCCTACATCTCGAACCCACGTACGCGCGTGTCATGAAGATTCAAAAAACCAGGCATTTATGAATAAGTGAATAAGTGAATGAATGAATGAATGAATGAATAAATAAATATGAATGAATGGAATGAATAAATGAATATTAATTAGAACTCAAAGTGTTTCTTAGACAAATGTCAAAAAAGCCTAGTTTATTATTACTATTATACAGTATGTATTATCCTCATTAAATAAACAAACAATGACACATTCACTTGAGCTAGC